AGCGAGTGGTGCTTCAGCACATCTTGTTTTCTATTGAATTGCAGCAGATTGACTCGGGACATATCAGGGTGTTTCTAAGTCATTCTCAGGGGCATTGGATGGTGGCTGCAGCCAAGGCTGGGGATTTGGCCCGGGGATGATGGCAGTGCTCCTGTTGGGACTTAAAACTGGAGGTTCCTGGCTTTTCGGTCTTATCCCTTTGTTTGAGGTCAGACTGATGTCATATTTGGGGTCAGGAAGGAGTTTTCCCCCATGCTCAGATTAGTACGGGCTAGGAGGGTTGCCTTCTTGTAGCAGCAACATGGCCCTCTCCGTGGGGTTTTGAGGGTCTATTAACAATCTTTGGTAGAAGCAGGACGCCGGCTGCCGTGGATCCCCTGCTTTGCCTCTGGCAGGTGAAGCTGTTAAGTCTTTTGTTGTCAGGGCAGAAGGTAGTTGAACGAAGAGTTTCAATGATGGCTTGTATGGGGTGGTTTGGATAGGGATGATCCTGCTTCAGGCAGGCGGCTGGGCTTGATGTGACCTCTGCGGGTCCCTTGCAGCCCCACTGCTCTCTGATTCTGCGACGGTTTGTCCAGTTTATTGACACTGGTTTGGATCCAAACCCTACTCCCAAGGGCATGCAGCTCCTTCCACCTCGTATTGCTTGCAGATGTTATGATGTCTCCTCTCTTATTCCCTTAGCTGAGCTGGTAATGAAAATCCTAGAGTTGGACCAGACCTGACCCTGCTCTATATGCCCTCGCATATGATGTGCGCTTGCATGCTTCTTGTTGTGGTTTCTTGCATCTCTGACGTGGGAACAGGCAGAACAAACTCTGCCAGATGTTCCCGTCCGATCTCGTCTGAGCTTCCCTGCAGCCTTGCGGGAAGGCCGTTGTTCCACCCCACGTGCTTTCTTGGCCCCGCAGCCAGTGAACCCCTCCATTGTGCCTTGGCAGGCATGTGCCAGGTCTTGGATGGCATCGGCGCGGCTCCCCGCAGCCCTGTGGTGGGCAGGGGAGCTGCCCATCACGCTTTGTCGGCATCGGGCCCCTTGGCTTGACCCGGGGAGGGAAGCGAACTTGTTTGCGTGCGCTGGAGCGAGCCGGATGCCAGAGCTGCCCCTGCTGAACACTGGGACATCGAAGCTCTCGGGGACACAGACGTGCCCTCGGCTGAGCCGAGGGACTAAAATAAGCAGTAAACCCTGAAAATCCCATAAACCGAAAGTGCGGTGAAGGAATAAGCTGCTAACTATGTTTACGGTCAGAATTAAGCAGGGTCTTTTACCAGGCAGCCATGGTTTTTATGTAACCTTTGCAACCTGCCTTCTCAAGAGGGCTGGGACATGGGGAAGGGGGTGGATGAATCCAGCTGCTTCCAAGGGGGCCGCGCTGGAGTAACCCCTTCTTCGCCTTCCCAGTGGCTCCCTTATAGCATGGCGGCACAGGATAATGAGGTTTCAGGGTCTGCAAGTCTTGCAAAATCTCCCTGTGGCTTCCAAGTTTCTCTGGTGCTGGTATGACAAGCCTCAGGCTTGGGCTGGGCTGGGGAGAAGGTGCCCCTGTGCCCTTTGTGTCGCTGTTACCTGTATCTTCGCATGGGGCAAGGTTGCGAGCCTTTCAGCTGCATTATGAAGGGCAGGTCTTGTTTCCCGATAGTTGCTTGTCCTCTTCCCCTGCTGCTCGTTCAGAAAAAGACCTGGCAGAAGGAGCAGCTTAGGGGGCGGTGGGTTTTTTAAGGTAATTTCTAGCTTAGGGGCTAGAAATTCTGCCCATGCCCTTGCTGCACAATTCGTGGCTGTGCCGTGTGGGAAACAGGTGGGTTATTCCCACTGTGGCAGTCTGAGCATCTTCCTCTCCGGTTGAATTTGTTCTTGCCTGTCTGGGGAACTTTTTGAAGTATCTGGATATTTAATTTCGCCAGGCGGAGAGCTTGGGATAGTTACTGCTGTGTGGCTCTAAGTGCGGCTGGGCAGAGGGGAGGACTGACAGTGGCTGGGAGAATAGAGGAAACGGGACTTTATCGAGTCCTTTTTCTTGCACCCCAGGCCTCTGGGTGTCAAGAGGACAGACTGATTGCCGTGCTGTCCCTGTCTAAGCTTAGAAGCAGCAGTGTCCCCTCCAGTATGGGGTTCAGTTCTTCTGTAGGGTCCTGAGGTCTTCCTGGCAGGGGTCCTTAAAATCAGTACCATGGGCCGAGATGGTGGACGTAGGCCGGCCCGGGGAGCAACCTGCAGCTGCACTAATGACTCTAACCCAAATGCCTCTCTGTGCTCTCTTCCCAGATGAACGGGATCGAGTCCAGAAGAAAACCTTCACTAAGTGGGTCAATAAGCACCTGATGAAGGTAAGAGTCACTGGACTGCACATGGTTTCCAACCTACCTTGGTCTGTCCGTGCCAGCTTTGACCCAGAACCGGCTGGCCTCGCTCCGTCCCTGGAGTAGTGGGCTAGTGCTGCCCTCTGGATGCCGATATGCCAGTGGATGTTCACAGGGCTTCGGAGAGCACTGAAACATCAGGCGAGCTCTCATGTGCCATCGCATTTACCTCTTAATGGGAAAATCGTGCATCAGGAGAAGGCATTTCACAGTCTTTGCAACAACAAACACCCTGAGAGAGCCCATCTTGCTCCTCCCTGCCCCAGTCCATCCCTGGGTGAGGAGAGGGTGCAGGTGGTACCTCGAGTGACCATGCGTGTGCTGGCTCAGCGACTGCCCCTCCAAAAAGCTTGTTCCCCTTCTGCCCTGGTATTCACATAGCTGGGCTTTATTGTTCTCCTGCTGCCCCTGCTCTTTGCAGAGGCCGGTGCTTGTCTGCCTTTCAGGGCTGAGATTGTTCCTTCCTGGAGAGGAGAAGGGGACATTGCTAGGCTTGGCCCCTGTTCCCCTCTCCCCCTGGCTCTGAGCTCTTGAAGCCTCTCTCTTGCTTGAACAAGAAGTCCTTTGGTGGCTGTGCAACAGTAGCTGGTGCTGCCTGTTGGATCCTTCCCGGAGCCCAGCCTGATGACAGAGGGCCCGGGGAGAGGGAGACGGGGCAAGGAAAACATTGTGTCTTTGTTAGGGATGGGAAGCCAGCCAGACCTAGGCTGTCGCCCGCAGCCGCACATGACCATGGCAGAGAGTGGCAGGAAACCTCCCTTTGCACTGAGCTTTCTGCTGCTCTTCAGCATCCCCCTCTCCCCTTCTTTCTCTCGCCTTTCTCCTGCAAGGTCCTGGAGCTTGAATTTGGTGCGGCCTCAAACTTGGGGCTCGTCCTTTCCAATGCCGGTGAGGGGGAGTGAGGGTTCAAGAGGAGCTGGGGGCTTTAGAAGAGGCTGAGATCCAAAGGTTGCATAATTCATTTCTTGCCTTTTGCAATCCTTCCTTCCTTCTTGAAAGGCTATGATCCAGAGCCTGGCCAGTCCCTGCAGCCCTGGCTGGTCTATCTAATACCTGGCTGCTTCTTGCACCAAGGGTCCCAGGGAAAGGTGTTTTGAGCGAGCTTTCTGGTCCCAGGAACTTGTGCCAGGCTGTGTCTGCAAGAAGTGGGAAGAGGTCCAAGGACTCTATCCCTGCAGGGGGCCTTGCTTATTGAGTCATGCCATAGCATATTTGCTGGGGTCCTGTTTCCGCACAAGAAACACCAGGTCCAGAGCAAAGCTAATCTTGCCTAGGGGAGGTCTCCGGGCTCTGTACTTTATGGTGTGCAGGAGGGGCTGGCGTGGATGTTTTCTGGGACTAAATGGCAAATGCAGGGGACTGGACCTGGTGACCCAGCCGGTTCCTGGCAGCTGTAGGTTCTTCTGCAGGTCTGTGCAGTCATTGCCGAAAGGATACAGCCCATTACCAACATGCCCACACCTCACTTATGTGACCCAAGGCAGGGGCAGGGTCACTCACATGACCTGTGGCACATGCAGCTGGTTTGGACATGAAAACTTGCCGGATTTGAATCCCTGCCGAGCCGCTCGTTAGCTCCTGTGAGCTTTCCTGCCACGTTTGGAACGAAGCTTTTTAAATCTTGAGTGATTGAACAGGATTATTGTTGCGTTTCAAGGTGCCTCCCCCTTGTCTTGGAGAACTGCCAGGCATTTTTTAAATTAAATCCAGCATCAGTGGAAAGGTTTTTGGCTCAGACATGGGAGGTGTCATCGTGCTGCTGTGGCGAGACTGGGGAAATTGCAGACCTGTACGCGAATAGCCCAGCACCACCCCTCCTTTCCCTAACCTTCAGCAGCCATAAAGCAGCCCGCTCCCTGCCTGCCTGTGAGGTCATCCTGGGTTTGTTACTATATTAGAATAAAGCACTTGAGTGGGTGAAGACGGGAGCCTGGGATTCGAGCCTCTACAGGGCACATCGCCTGTGCCAAAGGCATTCATTTAGAGGGACACAGTCAACCTGCTTCCATCTGCCTTGGACCCTGCAAGGATACCCACCTGTCCTCAGAGGGACATCTAACATGCCCGGAGGGAAATAAGATGCAGTAACTGTTTTGAGAATCAATTGCCTGTTGTTATTGGTAGCATATTTTAGGGCATGCATGTGAAATTAGGACCCCATTGTGCAAGGTGCTGTACCTTCACATGGTAAATGACTGGTCCAGAGTCGCACAGAACGTGTGCTGCAGGGCGGGGAAGCGATGACTCCTCTCCACAGTCTCAGCGAACGGGTGACAAAGATGAATCTCTATGCAGGTTATCTTAAAGGTTGAAACATGTTGCCAGTGACTTTTTAGTTTTGTAAAAGGCTGGCAGTAGTTGAGAAGACCCTGAAGTTGGACCCTGCGGTTGATGGCCAAGGCCAGTCCAGCCCCAAGCTGCTGTCCTTTAATCACAACCTGCTTTGATAGCAAAGGGGCAGCGTGCGAGCATTTTTGAATTGCACAGGGCTGAGGTGTCTCAAGAGTGATCTGTTGTGTGTCTGCCACCGTAACTCTTACCAGGTCCTTTGGCAGGTTGGTGTCTCATTCCCAAGGTGATTAATTGGGATGTGACTGAAGCCGGTGACACATTTATTGTTGAAGCGCCAGATACATCGCTGCGGTGCCCTTTATGTGTCTGCATCTCTTCTCCATTGTAATAGAGTAATCCCCTGGCTTAGGGGCGGTGGCAGATCCCTGAAAATATGTCGTCCTCTTCTGCTCCGCAGGTGCGCAAGCACATCAACGACCTGTATGAGGACCTGCGAGATGGCCACAACCTGATCTCTCTGCTGGAGGTCCTGTCGGGTGTGAAACTGGTGAGTTCCCACGCTGCTGCTGCTGCGTTCACCGTCAGAGATTGGATCCTCTTACTGCGCCTTCCTCCTCTTGGCCTCTGGTTGAGCGTAGGGTGATCGGTGTTCATTTCTCACATACAGGCTTTTCTTTGGTTTTGGTTTTCATTCACTTTTTTTTTTTTTTAAACCCCTTCATTGAAACATTCCCTCATCCAGCTGGTCTCCTGGATACCATCAAAGCGTGCTATTTGCTTGAAAAATGCCCATATCTAGTACTTACGGTAGATGTGCGTGTTCTTCAAGTACTGCTTGAAGGATGCATAAATGTCAAAGGAGACCCCTTCCACAATCACGTGGCATGCTTCCCTCTCCAATGATCCCTGCCTATGTGGGGCCTCCAAACAGAAGAGGAAACAGCACTTTTCTTCTGGTGCATTCCTCCTTGTACAGCACGGGCTATCTTCTCTGTGCTTAGATAACAACAAGTCAAGGTTCCAGCTAACACAGTTTTCAACGGTTTATCCAGTTAGTGCAGATGGGGTTAGAGCATGATTCAGATGCTTGTGATGTGCCAGCCCCTGTCTTGGCAGAGGTTTGGGAATGCAGTCCGGGCCTGTCTGTATTAGAAGGTCGGACTCAGAGACATTCTTTACCTTGATTAATATTCATAGGAGCAAAGGAAAGTAGGTCTGGAAGGGAACTCACAAGGTCATCTAGCCCAGCCCCGTAATTGAACATAATTCAGGGACTATCTTTAAGCATAGTCCCTGAATACTTAATTCAGTAATGAGCCCTGTTTTTTGGTGACGCCCACTTGACCATTACCACGGGGAAGCTGGGTGCAGCTCCCAGCATGGCCAACCAGTAGCCTGACTTTTCAGTCTCTTACAAGACCTGCCTGAACCTTAAATCAGCTGGATTAGGTGTTGTGCAGTTGTTCCTCTGACCTGAGCGGTTTCACTGCGGGGCTGCTTCAGCTCCCCTTAGCGTTTCCTACTTAATCCAGTTTTCAGTTCATGGGCTTGTTAGAATCCTTGCTTTTTCGCCTGTCCTCTTCAGTGTGGTAGCCTGTCCTCTCACGTGCTAACTGGCATGAGAGATGGGCACGTAAGTGGAAACTACTTTCCAGGGAGCAAACGTCTTCTCTTGCATGGTGGGCATAGATGGATCTCTTTGGAGACCAAGCGAGTTCATTTAACCCTCGGAAAATTCCCCCTTGTGCAGCACCGGGGCTGTTACATCAGTAACCCTTGAATAGCATGTATGGGAACGCATTGACTCACTGGGTTCCCTCTGGTGATGCCAGATTACAGTTTGTGGATGTTGGAAAATTGGGGTTAGGCGCTTCTAAGCCAGATGGCTCCACTTGCAGAGTTTTCTGATCAAGGGCAGTCTCAGTTTAGGCAGCCTCTGCACAAGATCCTGCTGACGTAGCAAGGGAAGGTCGAATCATTCTCCGGTAAAATCTGGTTTATTTGTCAGCTCAGTGCTGAACTGGAATAGATGACCTCCTGAAGTCCTTTCCAACCCTAATTAATGATTCTCTGATCCGGTAGTGACCAACCATCGCTGGGGCAGGTGACTAGGAGGGCAATGTGAACAACGATGAATTAAACCATGGTGGGGAATTATCCTCTAGGCATATTGACCAGTTTGTTGTAGATAGTTCATTATTGTTGGCCATGCTAAGGAGAAGTTAAGCTTCTCCCAAACTTTGCCTTAAATGGTCGTAGAGTCATAGATCTTAAGGCCAACAGAGGCTATGAGGCCTCCTAGTCTGAGCAGCTGCGTAACACAGGGCGCCGGGTTCCCTCTCGGCACCCTGCATCGGACCCAGCAGCTGGCAGTTGACGTAAAGCATGTCGTCAAAACTGGGAGTTGCTTTCAGCCTCTCTCTGCCTCTGGCCCCTAGAAGGTACCACCTTCAAGGCATGATTGACCAGGTAATCGCATCTTCAGTACGTTCATGCAGTTAAAGTTGGGGTAAAACAGGGAGTAAGCCACATGGTTTTTACACAACATAGGTGTCACAGTTTTGTGGCTGGTTCCCATCGCATCTGAAATTGAACTTGGGGCTGTTGTGGTCCTGGGGTTGGGAGCGCCAGTCGGTTGATGGGTGCTCTCAGCTCGGGGAGCACGTTGTGGATGGGAGAGCCACTCAGCTGATCAGTGCCTTCAACATCTAGAGCACATTGGAGCCTTGACGGTGGTGCTGGGGGCTGGGATCATCATAGGGATCCGATTCCCTGGTCCCTCACCTTCCTGCCATGCATGGGTCAGGGATCAGATCCTATCATGCCCTTAATTGAACGTCTGTCAGCAGCTTCTCATGTGGGGACAACTCTATTAGCAATGCCCCCACAGGGACAAGCAGTGTTCAGGAGACCCAGCCAGCTTTCATTTTCCTACCCCAGCTGGCACAGTGGGCAAGGGACATACTTCTTTCATTATTTCTTTTCCCACCTGCTACATTTTAGATCCTTTCTCTTTGGTTGGATTTTTTCTTTTTTTTTGGTTTCTTTCTCTCTGTTGTGACGTTGCCATTGGTGTTGTCTGTGCCACCTGCACTAGCACAAAGAGCCTGCAGGTCAGAAGACCCTTCGCCCGGTGAGAGCGCCTTCCTGGCGCCGCGCAAGCAGTGAGGAGCGTGAGGAGGAGGAGGAGGATGGTGATGCAGTAGGTTAACCCCCTCCTGGGAGCAGCGCGATAGTGACTAACACTGAAGTGCCATCAGATAGTCCAGTTGTAACCAGGCTCTGAGTGGGTTGCACTGGTTTACATGGGATTTTGCTAAAAGGAGACTGGGACATTGGTCACAGCTCATAACAGCTGCCAGCTAATTGACTGTGAGTGATCATTTTCTCTCTGAAACAGGTTTGAGTAGAGCCGAGCCATTGGGTGGGGCGTGTAAGGGGATGACTGGAGCTGAAAGCATTTAATCCCGTATTCTTTCCGACTGGATTATCTGGGAGTGCATTTCGGTGCTGATGGCCTGCAGTGGGGGAATGCCTGCCCACTTGGTGTGAGAGCATGAATGCCAGTCACTCGGGGCAGGCTGCACACTGCTAGGAAAACCACAGGCTCTGTGGGGCTGCTCCCCCAGGGTGAAGCCCCTGGGGTCCTGCACACTTTCAGATGCGAGACGTGCTCTTTTTTCGCTTGGAGGAACAGGTGGCCTCCAGGACGGCTCCTGTGACATTTGCTAACCTCTCACTGCATGGCGGTCCTCTGCCTTATGTGACACACTGGGCATGGTAGCGTAGTTGTCAGGCAGTGAGGACTAACCTTGCATGATTGCAAAGTGTCTGGTTTGTAAGCGATGCTCTCTCAATGTCTTGGCAGCAGAGTGTGGCCCCAGGCCTGTGAGCAGAGCTGGGTGGCTGGCCTGGCAGATCCCAACTGAGGTTTCCTGCAAAGGGGATCGTGCCTCCCCGACATGAGAACAAAAGCATTTTGGCTGGTTTCAGTGAAGAGGCTCCCACTTCTTACCAGCTCACACTCCCCAACACGCCCTCCGTCCTGGGGGTGATTTCCTTCTGTCCGGCCATCCCCCTGCCTTGCTCTCAAGCTGCCGTCAGCTGCAGTGTCTTAGGGTGCCACTTCTCTGCCCGGGGTCAGCCTTTCTGCAGCCCAGGAAGACCTCCCTGTTGCTGGGTTTCCTTGTGAGTTGTGTCCTCAGTTGGTGGCTTTGACTTGGCTGACTCAGAGCTTGATTGCCCTCCTTAGAGGTCAGGGGTCCATGCCTGATGTTGCTGCACCCTGCAGTGGGCAGAACGGGGCTGCCTTTGTGCAAATCTGGGACTGCGTGAGTCATTGCTTCTTGGCCTGTGTCCCATGCCACCCCATGGTGACTGCCTGCCGCCCGTTTCGGGATCCAGCAGGCACGGAGCGGACATACTGTGTTTGCAGCGGGCTTCCTAGTACCATCTTGGAGGGTGTAGGTGAGTCTCTCTGCAGATGCCCAGGCCCACAACACCCCTCTCTTGCATTAAAGGTGAAGGCAAAGTTTGGAGATTGGGTACTTCTTTCGACACCCTCATCCCCAAACTCCATTATGTTACGATTGTCTCAGGACCTTCCTAAATAAATGACTCCAGGCACAAGTGTGGGAAAGAGTGCCGGCACACGGGCAAGCGCAGAATATATTGTGAACTTGTAGTAAAACTGCACGTGCATTGCTGTTAACAGTCAACAGAAAATAACTTTAGATTCACAAATGCAGATTCAGTGCATCTCACACTTTCCTTCCCCTTCCCGATGGGCATAACGGGGGGGGGGGGGGGGGGGGGGGGGGGCACGTGCCGGCTCTCCTGGGCTTCAGCAGCAAGGCTGGAGGCTGCCCTATGGCATTGCTGCCCCCCTTTCCCCAAGCTCTGCCAGGGCATGGAGCTGCTGTTCAGTAAGTGGATTGGGGTGGTGTAAGGAGGGGAGCAGGTGTGGCTGAATGTGGTTGGGCTTTATTTTTTCCCTAGGCAGCTCCCATATAGTGACCGGTGTAGCAGCTTCTCCTTGTGTGCTGAGGCCAGGTTTGCAGTAGCCCAGCAGCTGGCCAGAGACAGAAAGCAGGAGCAGGAGGCAGACAGAGCTGGCCCTGTAGCTAAGGGCCTTGCTCCCTCCACCAGCTGGTGCAGTGCAGACCTGCTGGCACAGGGTTTGAGACCAGGCTGAGACTGCTGCTGTCACCCGCATGGGCAGGGCTCTTAGTCGGTGTCTTTTGAGGAGTACTGCCTTCTTCCCCGTCCCGGGATGTCTTGCTGAGTGCTCAGCAGAGGTGCCTGGGACCCCACACCCCCTGCATTGGGCTGGGCTCACTGCTAGAGCCCTTGGGGGCTGCACCTGTGTGAGACGTGATCTCGTGAGCGAGCAACGCTGCTAGGGGAAGTCAGGGACCGATGCTTGGTACAGATTCTGAGGCTGCAGATAGACCTGCTGGGTCAGCACCCAGCTGGAGGTAATCTATGCAGTTTGCCCAACTCTGCCCACATCGAGGAGACCGTGGGTGCTGATAGACTTCCCCGCATGGCTTGAGGTGGTGTTCAGCAGCCCAAAGTAGGTGAGAGGCCCTGGGACCCCATTAGCAGGGCAGAGAGCTCATGCCTGGGAAGTGTGAATCCTTGTGACGTGACCGTTTCACCTGCTGCGTCCTCTGACCTGTGGCCTGCCTCTCGGACAGTGCTCCCTAGGACTGGATCAGCTGCCCAGATCCGCCTGTGACACAGCCGTTGCAGAGAGGCTGTCCTAAGCAACACCTTGAACGTGTGCTATGTCATGCAGGCACACAGCGGTCAGGCTCAGGCCTCAGAGAGGACACAGACTGTTGCTTGGATTTGAATGGGCTCCTGCAGTTTTCAGCCAGAAGCTGGTCCCTGGGGGCCTGGGTTCATGGATTTCCCGGGTGCTGTGTTGGGGAGCAGGCGGGTGGCAGAGGTCTGTGCATGTGCATCGTGAGAACTCCTTTCCCTGTTGCCCTGGGTGACCGAACTGAAGCCGCTGTCTGTGTTTTGCAGCCACGTGAGAAGGGCCGGATGCGTTTCCACCGGCTGCAGAATGTGCAGATTGCCCTGGACTTCCTGAAACAGCGACAGGTAAGAGCTGCACAGATGCTTTTGGCTTGACTGCGCTGTGGGTGTTTGCGCTCCCTGATGGGCTTCAACTCCCCCTTCAGGTGGGGACCCGCGGGGTGTGAAGCAGCATTAACATGTGGAGCTCACAGCCGTGGGGTGTGGTGAGGCCCAATAGCGTAGCTAGGCTCAAAGAAGGCTTAGATGGGTTTATGGAGACGGTCCAGTGGGGGCTAGGCAGTGTCTGGCAGGGGATGGATCACTCTGCGGGTGCCCTATTTATAATAGTCTTCCTGTAAAGGACCCACTACTTGCCACTCCCAGAGGCAGACTGCTGGGCTGGCTGGATCCTTTATCTGACCCAGTCTGGTGGTCATTCTCGTGCTGCTCTTTGCCCGTCACTGTGATGTTCACATGCTGGTTAACAATAGTGCTATAGAGAGGTCTCCTTTGAGGTACTCACCCAGTATGGTCCCCTCTGTCTGGAGACCAGCTTCCAAACCAGAATTGGGGTTTTAAATGCAGAAAGTACTCTGCCAGCTTCACAGCCCAGTCACCTCTGCTGCACTTTAGAGCCTCCCGGGGCTTTGGTGCTTGGGTGCCCAGTTGCAAGCGTGCACGAGCTAGCTGCACTCTAGCTGGGTGGGGACCCCAAGGTTATGCAGCAACGTGGCACAGGCTTCAATGCAGGCTCGGGTGCCTCACCTGGGACTCTGGGTACTTGGAGGGCTGAGCTCCCTGCTGCCATAGAAATCATAGAGAAGCTAAGCTGGAAGTGACTTCCAGAGGTCATGTAGTCCAGTCCCCTGCCTGAGGCAGGATCAACCCTATCCAAACCATCCCATGCAAATCCATCATTTAAACTCTTTGTTAAACTATTGTCACCCCTGACGCAACATCAGTCTGCACAACCCCCCAGTCCCTATCTGTCTGACCATGGGGGGAAATTCCTTCCTGAGCCCAAAGATGACATCAGTCTATCCCTGAGCAGAGGGGCAAGACCTCTGATTTCAGTCCTAACAAGAGTATTGGCACGGCCCAATCAAAATCCCCAGCTGGAGCTGCAGCCGACACCCAGTGCCACTGAGCAAGGCTTAAAACACCCTGACACATGGAGCAGCAAGGCTGTGTGCTGCCCCCACGTGCCCAACTACAGTGAAGACAAACCTTGGTGTCCCTGACCTGGCCGGTCCCAGCTGCAGCAGATGCCTCTCACATCCTGCTCAGCGCTCAGGACGTGCTGGGCCCGTCAGGTCTCTGCTTGCAGGCTCTGGGGTGCTTCCTCAAGGGCAGGCAATAGGCCACTGTTAGCAGCTGTTACTCAGCCCATGAGCAAAGGCCATCACAGCCCAAGTTTCCTGCTGTTTGCAGGTGAAATGCTGCCGCTCCCTGGGGCTAGGCGTCCTGTTCTGCCTGTTTTGTGGGTTCCCTTTAGCTATGACGCTGTCAAGATCAGGGAGGAGGATAAAACGAAGCTGTAATGATTCATGCCGAAGCAGAAGTTTCGTTCCCCTTCTGGCACAGAGCTTGCACACTGCTCTGGGGGGTTGGGGAGGGGACAGCTTCAAAGCCCCCAGCCCCTCTCCAGCAATGCAGTTGTTTTGCCAGAGGCCCTAGGGAGTGTACTTCAGTAGCCCACACCCCAAATGAAACAGCTCTGTCCTTTGAAGTTCGTGGCATCGCAGCAGAGGGCATGCCGGGACGTTTTGCCTGGAATGCTGTTGGCAGCGATATCCGGGAGCTTCCAACGCACCGAGGTTTAGGTGTGGTCAAAGGCCCATCAGTCATGAGATCCCAGTTCTGGGAAGGGTTGGAAATGGGCCCTGCTGACCCCTAGAGAGTCTTCTCTGGGGAGCAGATGGTGATGGGCATTGGATGCTTGGCAGCTGGGTGATAAAGGTGGCGGAGAGGCATGGGGGAGCAAGGTGATGCCCTGTGAGTCAGCAGGATCAACCAGGAAACCAGTGGCCACTGCTTTCTGTTAGCAGGGAGCCCTGAAGATGGGGGTGACACTTGGGCATATTCATAGCGTCTTCTGCCTCCTGGATCTCAGCTCGTTTCCACAACTAGAGAAAGTAGGGTCCTGGCCAAACACCTCGTGAGGTGCAAGGCAAGTGTTTGTCCAACTAAGGCACAAGATTGAGAGTTGAGGGGACGGGGGAACAGTGTCCCCTTCTTTGCTCTGCCTCAGAGTTCCCACAGAAAATGCTGTAGCTCTCCCATCCCTCGCCTCCAAAGCAGGGGTAGGACTCGTGCTGCTCCTTCCCTAGCACATTGCAACCTGAGGCTTAGATCAGTGGTGGACTGACTTTGCAGTGCCAGAGAGGGCTGAGAATTTGGGTGCCCTCTTTTATCCATGCTACGCGGGCGATAGATTTTCCATTGTGCACAGGTGCGTAGGACGCGATACAAAGGCTTCCTCCTCCTGACCTGAATTGCATGATAAAAAGCTAGCAAGGCCCTTTGAGACCCTTGGGCCGGAGGCGTTTGAGAACTGAGACGTGCTCTTTGTAACCCTCTTTTTTTCTGATGGGGCACAGAGTGACTTGTCTGGAGACTGTACTGCAAGTCAGTGGCAGCGCTGGGGCTGAACCCCAGAGCTTTGAGGCTCAGCTCTGCATTTGTGCAGACAGGTTGCACCTCCCAGGTGTGCACGTGGGGGGGAAGACTTGAGGGCAGAGGTGGCCTCTCTGGGTGCATCTGATGAGGAGTTTTGATAGCCCTGTTGCTTCCTTTCTAGGTGAAGCTGGTGAACATTCGCAACGATGACATTACAGATGGCAATCCCAAGCTCACCCTGGGGCTCATATGGACGATTATCCTCCACTTCCAGGTAGGGACGCGTCTTCTCCCTTGTGGAGCAGAAAGGGGCATTCTGTGTTTCCAGACCTCCTCCTGCTGCCTAGGGCCTGCGTGTACCATGCTGGTAACACCGGTATCTGGATCAGTCCAGAGGATTAGCATGTGCAGCAGTGTCATGGAGACTGGGGTCGTCTGAAAATAACAACTCCCGTCTCTGGACACTTACATAATTAAATCATTAATGACGGATTCTGTGCGCCACGGCCCTTTGATTGGCACCAAGGTTATTGGGAGTTCTTTGCTCAGCTGAGCCAGAGAGCTGTACTTCTCTGGGCTGGGGTAGACAGAGCAAATTTGGGAAAGAGTGGGGAAAGACGTTTCTTCATGTGCACATGGCAGGAGGACATGATGGGTTCCCTGTGCACTTTGTGTAGTGGGTCTGTGCATCGTCTATGCATGGCCCAGGACTTGAGTCGGGGAGAGGTTGCCCTGCCCAACTGAAGGGCCAGGAGTTTAGCGTGGCAGAGTTAGTGGCTCAAGTCATCATTGCCCGTGACAGAGACCATGACATCCTTGCCCTTAAAACCTAGGGTATGGGGTCTCCAATGGCTGCAGGTTGCCAGGACGTGGTTTTGTGGCATCCAATCACCCCTCCTCATCTCCCACCCCAGCAATAGGCTTTTGTTGACAGCGACTCTGTGAGGGATATGAGTTTTCCTCATTGCAGCGCTCTGGAGGGGCAGGGGAGCTTGTGAGAGGCATTCCTCGCTGCAGAGCTCCCCTCACTGTTGGTGACCATTGTTGGCTGGTTCATGAACATGAGATCTGGATAATCCAGGCGCCGTTTTCCCACTGACGGGAGCTAAATTGTTCTGCTTGGAGAGGGCAAACCCCGCACCGGCTGGGTTCTGTGGAGTTTTGTTTGCTGAACGCAGCATGGCTGGGATGCAGTGGACGGTTTTCTGCGATGGTGTCTGGGAGCTCCCAGGAGCACGCCACTTGCCCTGTCCATTTCCCTTGAGCACCAGCACAGGCTTTGGTGGCACAGTCGGGTGCCCCAGGCATTCAGCATTGGCCTGATGAGGAAGCTCGCCTGTCTCCCGAATGCAGGCCTCCTGCAGCTGTATGGGGGTCTCTCCCTTGCAGTTTGGGCACAGCCTGAGAGAGCCTTTGCCCGCCGTGTTGCCATGCCCCTGTTGGCCTGAGTGCTGAAGCACGGACAGCTCTCTCGGTCGCCACCCTCCAGCCGCCCTGCTTCCTCGCTCACAAAGTGGTCAGAGGTTGCCCTTGTTGTGGATGCAAGGCCAGGCCTCCGTACAGGGACAGTGTGCACCTGGGGCCCTGAGTTTCCAGTTTGGCATGTGCTGCCTGATGCCAGCAGCTCTTCCCCATTAGCCTCCTGCCCCCGTGGACACATTCCTGACCACATCCCCTTCACTCCCTCCCTCCATGCGTGCAACCCCGTGCCTCAGACCACTGGTTGGTAGGGGTCCTTGATTCAAGGCGTGCGAAGGGTGCGTGGGTGCCCTGTAGATCAGTCCCTGTCATAGTGTTTCAAGCAGAGCGAACGTCTTCCTCCTTCTCCGCTGCATGAACCTTTCTGGCCTGTACAAGAGGGCTGGAGCAGCTGCAGTGGGACATGACTCCCCAGCCCCTCCTGCTACAGGGTGCATGTTTTGAGTGGCACCTTCTTCACAAGCTGGGAACAAATCGATCAGTCCCAGCCAGGCAGAAGGTCTCCACGATGAGGGGTGCACATGCCCCTTTGGTCAGAGTACATGGTCCCTGCAACAGCTCTGCAGTGTTGGTACAGCCTTGCTCTGTTCCCTTCAAGCCCGTGTGGGCTTCCCTGCTTATCTCGGGGAGCTCAGCCCATTGCTTTGCAGGATGCAGGCTTGCATCTCTCTGAAGGAGGGCATCATGCCCATGAATGGGATCATGGGATCAGAGGAAAGTAGGGCTGGCAGGGACCTCACAGCATCACATCTGGTCCTGCTTCCTGCTCAGGGCAGGATCGTCCCTGACTGAACCATCCCAGCCAAGTGTCCGTCCAACGTGCTTTTGAAAACCTCAAGGATGGCGATGCCACAGTTTCTCGGAAGAGCCTGGTCCAATGCTTGACCACCCTCATCGTCAGAAAGTTCCTCCTCGCCTCCCACCTCGTCTCCCCTGCTGCAGCCTGAGACCATTGCTCCTAGCGCCGTCCCCTGCGGCCACAGAGAAAAGCCCTTGTCCGTCTTGCATGAGTGTGTCGGACAGTCTGGACCTACCTAGGCCCGTGAACTAGATTCCTGCTGGATGGTGCTGGGGGCTGAGGACAGGGTAGAGCGGAGCAGGATCGGCGTGCGAGAGGAGCCGCTTCCTTCTGCAGGTGTGAGGGATATTGGGCATCCTAGTGAGGCCAGTCGTTGCTCGTCTCCGTGTGGCCGCTGGCATGAGCATTAGCTTCTCCCGAGCAAAAGGAGACAAAGGAATTGGCTTCCAAACCCAGACGGGAGGTGGGGGAGCTTGCCCCTCTGCCCGCACCCCGTCCGCCTTGAGCTCCTCAGGTCCCATGGGGTGAGCTGCCAAAACCTGGCTCCAGTCATCGGAGGGGCCGTGTTGCTGAGCTGTCCCCCGTGGCTGCTGTTTCGGAGGGCTGGGGCGGTTGTTCCTGAAGGCTGCGGTGGACGCTAGGTGGTGCTGCCGTCCTGCAGCTGAGCGGATCCGGGCTTCGGTCCACGGGAGAGCGCCACGGCTCCGCTCACCCCACTTCTCCCTGGGAAGGATGCGAGACCTCCCAGCGCAGGGGGGATTTGTTTAAGGGTAGCCGGACTGGCACAGGCGGCTTAAGCGCTCCCAGCGGCGCCTGCTCCCTGAGAGGAGCCTTTTTTCTCTGTCTTCCAGGAATAAAGGGATTTCTGTTGGGGAGGCAGCTCCATTGTTGAGCTCGTCACCTCCCTCCCGGCTTGGACGCTCCTGCCTTCCTGCCCTGCGAGCGGCTGCATGCTGTGGCTCTGTCGCCGCAGGGCTGGTTCACGCGGGCCGGCAGCCCGAGCGCCGCCTTCGATGCTGGAGGATCCTGAGCCCGTGCTGGTTGAAATGGAAGCGGGGAGCCTTGCTTTGGGGAAGGGCCGTCCCTGGGATGCCCCCAGGTTGCTGTGTCTGAGCCCGGGCATGGGTTTGGAGATTTGGAGAGCGGTCATGGCCCTGCTGGCAGTGTCTTATGACCTCCATGGTGCGGGGCAGGGTGAGGGTGAAGGGGTCTGCCGCGTGGCAGACGGGGCCCCTTGTCCTACCACTCAAGAGGCAGCCCCTCCCTTGCTTTTTGAGGCAGGCAGGTGTGAGGTCCTTCCCTTCCCAGCCCTGCCTTGCTGGGGTTTGGTCGCCAGCGTGAAGGGGAGCAAGGGGCCCCTGGAGCTTCTGGTCCCATGTGCAAGGTGGAGGGCGCTGGCGGGAGCTCCCCCGTGGATGCAGGGGCTTGAGGCTTCCCCTCAGACACCAGCAGAAGCGAGGCAGGATGGTCCCTATACGAGCCCTGCTAATTGCCATCGCTCGCGCTGTGGATTTAACCTCTCGGCACCCAGGCAGGTGGCTTCTCCTGAGGGTGCCCGAGATGCACGGGGTCCCTCGGAGGCCCCGGAGCACCAGCTAGCCCTTCTGCAGGGGTCAGACCCCACCCCATGCCACCCCTCTGCGCCTGGAGCTCCTGCGCCGGCATTCAGCTGTCCACCTTCGGTCCTGGGGGGCCTGTGTCGGACGTCCGCGAGCAGGCACCCTACCTGTCACCCAGGACAGGTGCCTGCAGGCTGCCCACACCACTTGGCTGGGGGATTTCCTTTTGGCACGCTCGCCGAGTCACGCCGGCTCCTCCCTGCTGCTTCTGATTTCTCCCCCACCCCTTTCTTTATGCTACCTTCACCAGCCTCCCCTTTTCTTACTTTCCTCCCTCCTTTCTCACCCCCCTGACTCCACTACACCGCCCCCTCCCTCCCTTTCCCCTATTTCTGTCTGGTTCCTGCTCTCTGTTTGTGTTGCTGAGGGCCGTGCTCCAATTACCTCATATTTGGAGAGAGAAAGCTGCAGCCAATCCGGACTCCGTCTGCTTTTAGGTCAAGTGATTTCTGAACTGCAGTGAGATGCTTTGAATTTGTCTTGTTGCAGCTCCCAGTCTGTAAGATGGCTGTCTGGAGCGGCAGCGGCTGGGAAGAGACTCTGTGCGTGCGAGCGAGCGAGGGAGAGAAACGATGAGGGATTGCCCGCAGTACTGCGTGTTTGAGACTGTGCATCTAATCTGATGAAGCGGAGGTTAGGATTTATTCGGGAGCCTGAGACCAGCTTAGCTGCATTATCACCGGTGCCTGCCGCGCGGAGGAGATGGGGAATTCTCTGGGTTGCGTTAAGGAGCCGAAAGAACCAGCTGCTGGACCAGGGAAGGCTCCTCTGTCCCCCCAAAAACGGGTTCGCTTCAAACGGAAGTGGAGGGGGAAGAAGAGGATGGTGCGAGAGGCAAGCCCGGAGAAGGAGCAGCCCTCGGCAGGCACCCAGGCGGCTGGAGAGGTGGAGGCATTGAACTTCAAAGCGGCTGCTCGGCCAGAGGGAGGAGGGGAGGTTGCTGAGAGCCTACGCCGAGACGCCTCGCCGGCTGTGGATCCCCGCCTGGGCCCGGAGGCGCCGCCCCAGGGGCACATTGTACAGGTGAAAGAGAGGTTTCAAGGGGAGGTCCGGAAAGCCCACCTGGTGCTGGAGCCCCGGTGGGTGGGAGCGAGGCTCCCGGGGGATTCCCTCGAGGAGGGCACGACTGTCATCGCTCGCCTCCTCGACAACCCGGCGGAGAAGAACTGCGAGAAGGCGGTGAGCCGGCTGGTGGGATTTCGGAGGACCGGGGCTGGGAGCAGCCGGGCTGTGCTGCTTCCTCTGCAACGGGTGGCTGCAGTCAGCGGCGAGCAGGGAGAGGGAAAGGAGCCCTCCGGAAAGCAGGAGCTGAAGAAGTCTGTGCCTTCGGAGGAAGCTGGCGGGTCTTTGGAGGCCTCGGAGCAAGAAGACGGGAAT